AAGAGGTAAATAAGTATTTTAGTGATGATTTTCTATTTGTTTGATATTATTTTTAATTATTTTTTTACGAATTTGTCAAAATCACAAGAATTTGCAACAAAATATAATGTGTGAAATTGTGATTATGTGTAAGTTCTTTTTTGTTAAAAATGTGTATGTACGTCTAAGTTAATTTATGTTATTGCGAATTTAACTTTTTAAAAAATATATATATTAAAGTTATTATGTATGTATGTGAGAATTAATAATAATAAAACATAATGTTACGACTTGAACTTATAAAATAAAAACTATTGGGATCAATTTGTAAATTTTATAAATAAAATGTATTATTAGTAATTAATAATAAATAGAAAAATGAAATATAATTAAAATATTGTTTTTGGAGTGAGAAATGAAGTAATACATTAGAGTAAAATCCAATTTTATTTTGGAGTTACTCCATTTTAAAATGAAAAATAGAGTGATACATTGGAGATACTCTAAAAGTCGTCGTCTATCCAATGGATTCCACATTCTCACTAACATTCAACCATGCTCATATTCATTTTATGTTGTAAGTAAAAATACTTTGAGATTTTCGATTAGCTTTTTAATATAATATTTCAAATATACCAAAACATCCATACAAAAATCATCTATTATGAATGAAATAGTCATTTTATTCATTTTTCAAAAATATATTTCTTCATCTTTGTTAGTCACATCAAGGGGTGTATTAGCTCGACTATCAACATATTTTTAACCTTTAATATTTTTTTTTCACTGAATAATCTTATATAATATTTTAAGGTTCTTCAAAACCAAAACTATGAGAGGTTGCCATGTGGCATCCATTCTTTTGGCATTTGAATTATTATTAGGATGGTACCCGTGCTGAACGCGGGATAAAATGAATATATACAAATGGAATTCAAAAATTTCTTGTATATTCGAATTTGTAATTATTTTGTATAGAAATATATTTCACATTGAAATATGAAAAATGTATAAATCAAACA